AACATTCTGCCTAAAGCATTCTTGATTATAGCAACTCTAGGTTTGAATTTGTTCTTCAGTTCCTTGAGCTTAAGAAATGCTGAACGAGTTTGGCCCTTTTGATTTTCCAACTCCAGCTCCTCGCACATTTCATTGTAATAGGGTTGCTAAAACTTGGAATCAACTCAGTGGCAGGAAGTTTTTCCAGTTCTTAAGAGCAGAAAAAAAGGAAACAAAAGGAATCCACAACATCAGAAATCTACGAAATTCTCCTTTGGAAGGATCAATGAAATCAAACCACTGGCCAAGAAAACAAAGGCAGCAACAAATTACTCAAGTAAGAAATGAGATGGGTAATCTGAATCAAAAGAAAAATATCATTATAGAATATGACAAAAAATGGTACTTGAAAATGTAGAGGAAAGAGAAGAGAGCTTTAGTCATCTTGTGGAAGAAGCTGTGCTGCAATCCCAAAGGCAGTGGTTCGAATCCACTAGCTGCTCCGTGGGAGAAGGATGGACATCTCCTGTTCAAGAGATTACTGCCATTACTGCCTCTGAAAACTCACTGACGGGTCAACTGTGAGTTGGTTCCAACTCGATGGCATTCAACAACAAAGGAAAGAGACAAATTTCTAGAAACATACTGTTGTTACGTGCCATCTAGTTGAAAACTATTCATAATGAAGCTATGAACAAAAGATCTGAACCTAATCATGTCCTGTACCGTCTTTACACTTCCTGACCCACAAAAGTCCACTGCAGCACCTTGTCAATCCACCTGGTTGAGGATCTTCCTGTCCTTTGCTGACCCTGCACCCTTCCCAACATCATGTCCCAAGGAATAACAGCACCTCCTAGCAATATGTCCAAAGTATATGAGACGAAGCCTAATCTTTCTTTCCTCCAAAGAGCACTCCAGCTGCACCTTCTCCACAACATTTCTGTTCATTCTCCTGGCCATCCATGGGATGTTCAGTGCTCTTCTTCAGCAGTACAGATCAAAGGTGTCAATTCTTTTTCTGCCCTCCTTATTCATTGCCCAAGTCTTAGATGCATAACAGTCAGAAAGACTATGGTCTGAATCAGGCACACCTTAGTCCTCAAACTGACATCACTATTCCTAAATAATTTCTAAAGGTCCCTACCTTCAGATTTTCCCAGTGCAATGCATTTACTCATTTCCTGACTGCCCATACCAAGGGTGTTAATAGTGGGTCCAAGCAAGATGAAGCTGTTGACAGTTTAAATCTACTCTCCATCCATCATGACACTGCCTAATGGTCCAGTGGTAAGAATTTTTGTTTTCTTGATATTGAGACAAATCTATACTGAAGGCTGCATTCTTTGATCTTCTGCAACAAGTGCCTCAAATCCTCTTCAAGTAAGGTTGTGTCATCTGCATAATGCAGGTTATTAATGAGTCTCCCTCCAATCCTGATGCCACATTACTCTTTGTAGAGTCCAGCTTCTCTGATAATTTGCTCAGCAAAGTTACTGAACAGGTATGGAGACAGAATACACTATGCACTCCCTTCTCAATTCCAAACTATGCAGTTCACACAACAGCCTCCTGGTCCAGGTATAGGTTCCTCATGGGTACAATCAAGTGCTCAATTCTTCTCAATGTCAGCTACAACTTGTCATGATCCCCAGTCAAATGCCTTTGCATAATCAACAAAGCACAGCTAGATATTCTTCTGGTATTCCTTACTTTAAGCCAGGATCCATCTGACATCAGCAATGATATTCCTGGTTCTACAGCCTCTTCTAAATCCTGCTTGAACTTCTTCCAATTCCCTATCTATGTACTGTTCTTGCCATTCTT